GTACTGACACCCTATCAGAAAACAACTACTCCCCTGGCTAATAAGCTAATAAGCAGGAATAACTTCAGTGAAGAATCCTGCACTGACACCTGTCGGATATAATCTAACGCCCTTCGTAGATTTGCCAGGGAAGTAGTTGTTTTCTGATAGGTGTCAGTCCATTAACCTACGAATTGTTCATTTAGATGATTTGATAAACATTATTGTTATGTTAAAGTCAGCAAAACTTTGTATTCGTTTTATCGATATATTAAGAAGCTGGAATGATTCTGCAACCGTGTTAGGAATCACACGTTAAAAGGTAAGACCTCAACTTCTGAGAGTTGTCGTTCGTATTGGGGCGGCAGCTGATTAACGGAAAAACAGATTTTAAACAGATTTTTTTTTAAACAGATTAACGTCATAAATATATATGTTATATATAAGGTATAATGAATCTTGAATTGAATCAAATGCATCAATTTATCACACAACACAATTCATACGATATGTCGCATTGAAAAAAATGAAAATCGGTTCATTTGCCCGATTGTCAGTCATTTATTTTATCAATCATTCGATTGATTACAACTGAATCAATTATTGCACAGTCAAAAACCCGATGCCAAAAATATATGTCTTATTTCATTGATATGAACAATAGAACAACTTGAAAGCACTATTTTACCATGAATCACTTTGAAAATAAATCCTAATCCAATAGATACTTGCGTGTCAACCTTGACACACAAAAAAATGTGTATATATACTAGATGTGTATATATTAGGTTGTTTCAGAAGTTTTTACGTTTCAGTATTATCTTTTTTTGTAGCTCCATATCTCAATAAATATGTATTCTACTGTGCCTACTGATCGATAGAGACTTTTGTACTCTATACATTCATATTTCGTCCAAATTTAATTTTTTTTTAATACTTTGCCCCTTTGCAGCTTATTACTAAATGATGCTGAGCGATTTTCAGTATTTTTTCTCTAATGATTCAATTTGAACCAAAGCGCTGTCGAAACTGCCAGAAAAATTAAACAGGCGTTTCGTTCCGGAGATTTGAGCCTCGAAGTGGTCGACCTATAGTAATTCTGGAGGATTTGAGAACCCTGGTGGATACTGACCCATCACAAACGGCGCGTGGGATGGCGAAAGAACAAGGCGTCACCTCCCATTCGGCTTTTGATGATTCAAAACGTATTGAAAAGGACAAAATGTTCAAAAAGTGGGTTCCCTACGTTATGAACGATCGACAGAAATTGTAATGTTTCGGGGTTTGCTCTTTTTTGTTTTTGCGCAACCAAATCGATCCGAATAGAAGCACTCAATAAATACTATTCTTCAAATTCTATTCACAAAACTGTAATGTTTTAGGTTAGGTCCAAAGTGAGTGGGTCTTTTGACCCTCCACCGCAACCAGCAAGGGTTTAGGGGGACTCACACCTATTTACACTCGACCAAATAAAGCCAGCTTCTTAACGAAGCCGATTAGTTTGTATGGTGAGTGGTCTTTCAGGTCAGATGGCTCCACCGAACTCTAAAAATCTGATTCAGTCCCCAGCGGGGCAAGCACAAAGTATGTGCTCTGCTGTTTCATCATTTTCCAAATAGAGGCGATATACACTGTCTTCCGACAGTCTGAGTTTCTGCATATGATGATTCCAATGACAGTGACCAGTAAGAAGGCCTGTTAGACATCGTAGTTCATTCCTACTGTAGTCCAACAACTGCTTGATATCAAGCTTCGAAGGGTGAATAAACGCCTTGGAGTGGAAGATTTTGCTAGGAGTCCATAAATCTTCTTGCCATCCAGGTGTACAATGTTTGTTTGGCAAAGTCTACAGCGATGTCAGTGACAGATTCTGGTCCGATGAAGCTGCTTGCAGCACCCTCCTTTGCAAGGGAGTCAGCAGCCTCATTGCCTCCTGGGACACTATGGCCAGGAATCCAGACCAGAGACAGTCTTTCAAGTCTTTCTATCAACGAGAGTCGTTTTTACCAATTGAGACGTTGCTCGGTAGGAGCCAAGAGCTTCCAACGCCGCTTGACTGCCCGAGAATATTTTTATAGACTTGTGTATGAGGTTGGATTTTTCTAATCTTTCCGCACCCAATTCAATAGCGTACGTTTCCGCTTAAAATACAGTCGTATAGGTTCCTAGGTAGGTTGATCTCTCTGTCCTGGGTCTGCGGCTGAAAACACCTGCACTTGAACCGGAAGGTGTTTTTAGGTGAGATGATATTTACTTCTCCCGGAGGATCCAGTCTTCTCTACACGGGAACAGCACTTTATAAGGCAGTTCGTAGTTGACAGTTGGAGTAAAGTCGGAGGTCATTTTCAGAATAATGTGACTTCCAGTGTCAACCAACAGTCTGTTGCACTCTGCATTGAATTGATTTGTGCAATTGCAATGTGTACAAGTCTATATGCAGTCCATCTAGCCTCTCTCTCCAGAAAAATGTGGAGAGGAGGTAGATCTAGAAAGATCTCCATGGCCGCTAACGGAGTGGTACTGATGACAGCACTGATGGCCAGACCAGCCTATCTCTGTAAGCCAGAGAGCTTCGCCAGGGCCGTTTTGTGTAAAGCCTTAGGCCATCAGGCAGTTGCACCATAAGTGATCATTGGCTTGACAATCATCACATGAATCCAATGGAGTTGTTTGGGACCTAAACCCTATGTTTCACCACAAATCCTTCGACATGTCCATAGGGACAGTCTGGCTTTGTGTGAAACTTTTTCCAAGTAAGCGTTTCAGGTGAGTTTTGTATCAAGGACAATGCCAAGATATTCCACCTCCGTTCCAAATGATCGTCAAATTTTCTCCTCCTGGTGAAGGGGATTATCACAGTTTTGCTGGGGTTGACAGACATCTGCTCAAAGGCACCAACTGTGAACAACGTCCATCGTGCTTTGGAAGATATTACAAGCTACTCTTCCCGACGTGGGCCTTGCTAAGATGATGAGGTCATCTGCATAAATTTGTAGATCTACTTTTTTCTATCGAGGGCATCAAGCAGACTATCCCTCAGATAGTACTCCACCTTGAGGGCAGCCTTTAGTGACCCTGAACCTAATGGTCTCGCCTTGAAGAGTCCTAGTTGCAGTTCTGTTTACTAGCATAGCATAGATCCAGCTAGTTATGGTCGATTCTATATCTTTCCTAGCCAGAGACGATCCTATACATTTAGGTGGTGCATTGTCAAATGCTCCTTCAATATCGAGAAATACACCAACCAATCTCCTTGTTGTCAAGGGATTGGGAGATTTTCTCTACAAGGTTGGTCAATGCTAAATCTGTCGATTTGCCGGTTTGATAAGTATACTGGTGGATGCATAATGCCACCCTCCTGATGTGTGCGTCCAGTATTCTCTCAAGTCTTTTCAACAGGAAGGATGTAAGGCTGATTGGTCGTACCGATTTAGTAGGGTGTGGGTCCCTGTCAGTAATGACATTTAGTATATTTCCCATTCGAATGTATAAAAGTTACAGGGTGGTGAAATGTTCGGAATTCATTAACATCCAATTCATATGGGTAAGTTTTTTATGTACTGAAAAGTGCGTCAGCAGCAGCCGGTACTGATCAACAGCAGATGTCTGATCCTGCCCACCATACTCCCCAGACCTCTCGTCAACCGACTACCATATTTTCAAGTATTTCAATAACTTCCTCACTGGTAGAATCTCAGCTAATCAGAACCAGTAAAAAACGGATTTAGTCGACTTCATCGAATCATGAGCACGCAATTTTCATGCTGACGAAATTACGTTGTCAAAGGTGCACTGATTCAAAGGGCGCTTATTTCAATTTAATTGAACAAGTATTCACTGAAATATTAGTTTAAAGACTCATGAAAACGGGCAACACTTCTGACACAAGTTAATACTTTATTTTACATAAAGCCAGGGAAAAACAATCTCGGTTTCCCTTTACTAAAATACTTGAACATTTTCTAATGGCNAGTTATGCAGTCAAGCTTTGAAGGAAGTTCACCCCATTCGAAGAGATGAGGATAAAAGTTATAGAACCTTAACCTACTCAGGCCAACCCATAACGAATATTACAAATTTTCTGCACAACAAAGGTGTAAATATTGCTTTAAAAACCAACAACAACTAAGGCTTGCACATTAAGAATAACAAAGATAAAAGTTCATTTCCAGAAGAAAGTACTTATAATGTACTGTTTGGAACCTTTGGTGTAGTAATGAATATTACTAGAGTTTTTTCCCAATACCAAATCGTTATTTTCAACACCTCGACACGTGTTTCGATCACCAAGTGATCATCTCCAAGAGGAAGATAAAACTTTTATCTTCGTCCTCCTCTTTTTTCAGTTATTCCTTCTAGTTAGTGATGGATTTTACATTTGTTTGAGTTTTTTAAATACTTTTGAATTTCTGTTATCTAATTTTCAGTTGTTTTCCCTAAACCATCTAATTGAAATCGGTTAGTTACAGCTTTTGGTAACAGCATGATCTAGGAATAACGGCTCATTTCAGACAAATGTCTTTTTAACATCTTAGGGCTAAATAAGTCTTTGGATATGTAAGTAAATTTCAATTAATTCAGAATCATTTTTAACTTTGAAAGGAGATAACTCATGTTTTTTTTCAAACATCATCAAATTTGATTAATTTGAAAATATGATATATGTGATGAAATTGACTGGTACTTGTTGAAAATCCATGATCAACTATTTCAGTAACACTTTATTATGTCATTTTCAAAAATAAGTTTACAAAACCGCGAACTTGTCGTGATTTTGTAAAGTATCAGTTTACAACACCGCGACACGTGTCGCGATTTAGTGAAAACTTCACAACAAAGTATTGCTCCAAAAGTATTACGTTTTGATTCCAAATACATTACTTTTAAAACAATAAGATCTAGTGCCATCATGGCATTTTCTATAATAATAACCTGCTTTTAAAAGATCATTTGCTGAATATGTTCTTCGATCATTCTCCTATCTTTCCCGAAATAAAAAGTTTTATGTTTTTCAGATAATGCCCAGATCAGAAAATACGACTTTTGGATACGCTTATCAAATGCCTTCCGGAGGATGGGCAGCCAAAGTGAGAAACGCTTTATCACAGTTCTCGGATATTTTTAGTGAATTTGATAAATACATCGCTCCGGCCTACCATCATGATCGATGTGAAAGGTATGAATCATCGAATAATTTATATCACTGTTGAAAAGAAACGATTTTGAAGCTCTTTGGAAATGATCACTTTTCAGGTAATTAGAGAACTATGAAGTTAAAATTGTCGATGGATTTACTAAGTATGACTGAATTATTGCTTTTCATAGATACATTTGGACGTATTCAAAAAACACACTTGTGACGCCTGAACATGCTATTGTTGTGGTTTCGTAAACTTTCAGTTACAAATCTCACATTGAAGTGTGGTTTTCGTTATGATGGGTTTTAATCGAGTATCGGCCAGTTCTATTTTCGATAAATTTGAAGATCAGTAATAAAATTGAATTGAATTTGTTTTCATGCTTTATCATCAACATTCGATAATCGTAAGCTTTTTAGAAATTATTGTTCTAGATCCGTTCAAATGAGACTTTATACCATGCATAAGAGGGAGTTTGTCATGGTTTTCATTACTTTTTTCGCTTGCTTTGGACTAGGAATTTTTGTAGGAATCGCAGGTAACTGAAAAACTTTCAAACACTTCAGAGATTGAAAAAACTATCTTTCATATTCAGGTCCACCAATTACTTCAACTATTGAAGTGGATGGAGTATCCCTATTACCAAAGAACGTCACAAGTGTGAGTACAAATAGGAAAGACATTGCCACTGGCCCGTTCATAATGAGAACCCCAAAAATGTCCACCTATTCTCAGCAGTTGTGGATTATAGCGAAACTATCCACAGAAAATACTGATGGTAAACATTCAAATATTATGTTTCGAAGTTCTGTTGTTGTGATAAAGTCACAAATTCCTTTGTTATGTAGGTTATCTGAGATAGGTAGTTATTGAATGTAAATGCATGTAATAGTTGTATTTTACATATTCTCAAATAATTTGGTACTGCGATAAAAATTACTTTGTTGAAACATACAGTGCATTCCATTTAAAACGAGCCACCCTGAATAACTTTCGGTACAAAGATTTGCAGGAAAAATAAAAAAATACCTCAAAAATAGTATACAGGGAAACACATTTTGACATATTCACATTTGATCTAACTTTCCCTATCGCACTCCCGCACTCAATGATAATCATCCAGGAAGAAATGTTCGACACAAATACGTTTCGGAATTATTGAATGAATTTATGGAAATTGGATCTGTTAACAATAAAAATCATAACCGTTCAGGGGTTGTCAACGATGAAGCTATTTGTACTGCAGTTTTAGGGCACGTTGGACTAATGGAAAATTCGCTTACTTAGTTGTTTCGAGAATCAGGAATCAGTCATACACATGTTTTCAGGATCCTTCATCCATATAAGTATAGACTAGTTCATGAATCGAACGAAGATGGTTTCGATAGATGTATCAAGTTTTGTGAAAGTCTCACTGAACGGATCAACTTGCATCAGAATTTCTTGTGTAAAATTTGTTTTTCGGATGAATCTATGTATAGTTTGAATGGAGAGGTGAATTGTCGATATTGCAGTGATATGAATCTTCATTTATACCGTCAAGTTTACACCCAACGATCTCAAAAACTGAATGTTTTGGCAGAAATTTTAGGTGACCACATCATATGACCTTTTTTATCGATGATAATTTGACTACTGATGAATATGGGGCAATTGAGGAGAATATAAATTAATTCGAAAACGAAATAGTTTTTCAGCAGGATGGTGCACCTCCTCATTATGCAGCTTCAGTGCGACACTTTTTGGATGATCATTTTTCTGGTCGCTGGATTGGCAGAAGAGGTCCTACAGAATGGCCACCAAGGTCTCCGGATCTCACTGCTGTAGATTTATTTCTATGAAGTCTGAAGTATATGAGACAAAATCAATAACATTAGAAGATTTGAGAGAGAATATTATGAAGCATTGCAGAGAAATAACTCCCATGATTCTCAACCATGTGAGGGCGGCAATGAAAGCTCGTTTGTACCATTGTATAGAAGTTGGTGGAAACGTTTTTGAACATTTGCTATAGAACATTTTTTTTTCTCATTGTCCAGTCATCAGATTCAAAAATTAATAAAAAAATCTCTTTTCCTCATTTATTGCTTCCATATTTGCCTCTAGAACGAATATTTGAAAATTTGGCCTCCTGTATAATTGTTGACCTGTTTTTCAATTTTTTCTGCAAATCATTCTTTCAAAAGTTATTCAGGGTGGCTCATTTTCAACTTTAATAATTTGTAGCTTCCGAACCATGAAATTTTGAACATATGTTTTATACTTTGTTGAAATCTGCTCATCATGGAGCATCTGATAATGCGAAACAATATAGGGTGATCTATTTGACAAAAAATAGTGACATGCTCTGGGAGTGGGATAAGGGATGTAACATCAAATGTAAATATGTCAAAATATTTCCCCCTGTATACTATGGTTGACGTGTTTTTTATTTTTCCTGCAAATCATTGTACCAAAAGTTATTCAGGGGGTCTCGTTTTAAATGAAATGCACGGTATACTTCAGCTAATTCTTCTTGCTTATAACTTTATAATATAAAATTTCATAAGTTTTTATTGGGCCGTAATGAACAAATATAAACTTTTAAGGAAAATCATTTATTGGAATCTTTATGAAGCTATTATAGCTTCTTTGATTAGGAAATATAAAGTTGAATCTGACCTAATTGTTCATAAGATTATTTATAGACTCAACTTGAGTTATCTTTTTTGTTCACAGTATAGTGTTTTTAACAAAGATAAATTTGTATAAAATAATGTTGATGTTGAGTGTGTTTTTTAGACCATAAAATGATCATTATGAATTTATTTTTTCATTTCAGGGGAAATCATAGATAAAATATTTAAAATATCTGTAGGCATATCAGGGTTAACTGAAGACCACAAACCTGTCTCAATACTAGACGTTAGGAGTAATAATAGGTAACGAAAACGTTTGTTTAGGTTTTGAAAAACTACTACTTCCAACTCTTTGCCAGAAGTTTTCTGAAGTAGTTTCTCAAAATGATGATTGTAATCAAAATATTATCAATGCATTTTATAAGCATGTTTTTATTTTCCTCTAACAAGTATATTTTTTCTATTTTTAGGACGAGACATTTGAAGTGCGAGAAACAAAGCTGTGATGAATTTATAGTTTTGCACCTGGGATATTTGGATTATACACATTATATAATCACTGTCAATTTTCATGGTTTGGAGGCTTTTCACTCGAGATATAATATTGATGAATTGTTTTTCTATGTGAGTGTTTATTGATTTTGTCTTGATGATGTCTTGATGAACATTCGTAACATGTTCAAGTTAGTTCATTGTGGGATTTTCACTGAACAGTTCAAGAAATGCAACACATATGTGTGTATGTGTGTGTGTTGTAATCAAAACAACCATTTTGACAGAGTGGTCTGAATAAAGGCTATGTAGTTCGAGAAAATCTCTTCATTTTATTCGTTTTGCTTCCACTTTCTGGACGATATTCGTCTCGACAGGAACTGAAATCTCCACGATAAATATCGTCTTGCTCTGGTGGTCGAAAAGGACTAGATCAAGGCTTATCAGCTTGTATGAGCCCGAGGATGAGGAACGAATAGTTCCAATACATTCGGCACTTCCCGTTTTCCACAACGGATTCAATATTCCCCGGAGCGTAGGGCAAGTCAAGTCAAAAATGTTTATTGGGCAACACCGGTGTCTCGTCAATACCGTAAGAATGTCGTAGAGGGTAATATAGCACTCTTAGGGCCGCGTTATGTCGATGGATATAGGCCGAGACCGCATATGCTGGACATGCTGATAGCAAGTGTATTAGGGTCTTGAGCGCCTCACGGAAAGCGAGGCGACAATAGTGAGATGCAGAAGAGAAGGGGACTGAGGAAATAGCCCTGAAATACACCCCTTCTGAAAGTGACCCACCCTGTTTGGACTCTGGCTTGACCAGATTATGGTGAAGCGAGTTCGCCAGAGTGGTATCAGTTGTTCAATACATCTCACTATTTTGTCGGTAACCTCAAGGCATCTGAAAGAAACTGATATCTCCACGACAAATATCGTCTTGCTCTGGTGGTCGAAAAGGACTAGATCAAGGCTTATCAGCTTGTATGAGCCCAATACATTCGGCACTTCCCGTTTTCCACAACGGATTCAATATTCCCCGGAGCGTAGGGCAAGTCAAGTCAAAAATGTTTATTGGGCAACACCGGTGTCTCGTCAATACCGTAAGAGTGTCGTAGATGGTAATATAGCACTCTTAGGGCCGCGTTCTGTCGATGGATATAGGCCGAGACCGCATATGCTGGACATGCTGATAGCAAGTGCATTAGGGTCTTGAGCGCCTCGCGGAAAGCGAGGCGACAATAGTGAGATGCAGAAGAGAAGGGGACTGAGGAAATAGCCCTGAAATACATCCCTTCTGAAAGTGACCTACCCTGTTTGGACTCTGGCTTGACTAGATTACGGTGAAGCGAGTTCGCCAGAGTGGTATCAGTTGTTCAATACATCTCACTATTTTGTCGGTTACCTCAAGGCATCTGAGCAGATGCAAGATGAGCTTATTATTATTATCATTATTACTTTCTACTTTTCTTTTAGAAAAAAACAAATAGCAAATTTCAACAACAATCCTCTCAATTTTTCTCATACTCATTTGTGTGTCCCCTTTTGCTTCAAATTAATCTCATCGAACTAATTTTGAAACTTTGAGAATTGCCAAATTCACGTGATAATCTAAAAGAAATTGTTTTTTATTTTGAAAATCAATAATGTATTCTTTGTATGTTTTTAGTTCAAGACTTACAATCCAGGGTTCACTCAAATCGAAATCTGGTTCAGATTTATCTTTTTAGTGTTCACGTTTATCGTAACTGTGAGTATTATCTGAATTATGATAACTTTGATTGACCCAATATACATTTTCTCAACAGTGCTGGTTTCAACATACTCTTAGGAAATATCCTTCATATGACTGGTCAATTGAACAAAAATGGATGTCCATTTTGTTGCCGATGTTGATGGCATATGACAGTGAGTATTCAAAGGAAGTTGAAGATAACTTTTCACATTTTGTTTTCAGTTACACGTTTCCATTTATAATTGATGAAAGTTTTTTCATACTGTGTTTCATGGTAATTTACTACAAATCAGTTACTTCAACTGAAACAAAAGCTACCATTGCCTTTAGATACAGTGAAAATCAAAGTTCTCGGATCCCTATATAGAATCATTTTATATTATTTTTCAAAATTATTCAATAAAACGCTGCTGATCTGAAATATCGCTTTCTGTGGGTTACACACAGGAAAGTAGGAGATGAAGTTCATTAGCAATTGAGCATAAACTATTATTCCAAAGTAGGTATTTCATGAAAAACTGTTCATGAAAATTATTTCATTCACTTTCAAGATTTGTTAAATTATTCCTAAAGAGTTTCGTCAATGTACAAAATACAATATCTCCGAATTTTCCTGAAATAATAATTTCTCATTTGTATTATACGTGTACTTGCCTACCAAAGGAAGATCCAGCTTCCAGCCCCAAATAGATTAGGTTAGGTTTGAAGTTAGTGGATCTATTTTACCCTGCACTGAAACCTGCCTTGGTTTGGTTACATTGCATTTATGAATGCACTGGAATAGGCCAATCTTGGTGGATTTAGCCAGAAGTCTGAAATTCTTCTTATAATCCAAGGTTCTGGTCTGATGAAACCACCTACAGCTTCCTCCCTTGCGAAATAGTCAGCAGCTTCATGACCTTTCAGGCGCCAGTGTAGCATGGAATCCAGACCAGTGACAATTTGTTGAGTTTCCTATTGAGGAAAGTCGTTTTTGCCGGTTCACTACCAACTTGGACGTTGCTCGGTTAGGCCAAGTGTTTCCAGAACTGCTTGGCTATTCAGGAATGTTTTTTTGATTAATGTATGAGGTTGGTTTTTGCTAATCTTTCTACACTGAAATACAGTCGCATAAGTTCCTAAGCAGGTCTCTGTCCTGCGACTCTATGCACCTCCACCAGAAATACAATTTGATCTATCTGAGAACTAATAGGCGTCTAAGTGTTTCCTTCTCCCGGTCGATTTTCTATAGAGCTTCAGGCCTAGATACTCCAGTAATGGAATAACCTCACCATTATAGGAAGTGAAGGGGACACTTTTGCAGGAGTTTGCAGATGTCTTCTCAGTCTGGCAACAACTGTGAACATTGTTCAACGTTTTTCAGAGCCTATAGCTCCATTCTTCTAAAAAAATCAAGCAAAATCCAAACAAACACTTCTTCCAAACACCAGAAATGCAATACTCTTCTCGAAACGCGTTTCACCAATCCAGTCTTCAGGAGATGAAGAAACGCAAAGAGTAATGCATTTCTGGTGATTGGGAAAAGTGCTCGATTTGGATTTATTATACGCCAGAGGTTCCAGTTTCACGTTTATCAAACAAAATGTTCATCAGGAGTGTTCAGTGAAGGAGGAAACTTGAAACCTTAAGGCCTCAGCAACGAAGAGCGTAAAAGCTGTTTTGGTCAGTTATGGTCGTTTTTATGCCTTTCTAGTCTTCTCTGATTCAATAGATTCAGGTATTGCATTGTCAATTACTTCTTTGATATTTTTTTGCTATGCCTCAGGTAACTAGTATTTCGAATAACACTGATCTACAAACAGACTTAATCTTTTCAAAATTGAATTTCGGTCGGGTCCACAAGATGAAACGAATAGACATGATGCTTCAATACAAGAATCGAATTTATATTCAAAACTGGTACAAAGATATGATTATTCAATAAATAAGTTAGAATCTATCTATTCTTTGAACTCGTTTCGCCTCTTTGTATTATATCCAACACCATACCTAATCCTTTTGTTGGAATGTTCAAGCAATGATATTTTTCTGGCTCAGATTTGATATTTTTCAGATCCAGCATTTCCTATGTCATTTTTGATAAATTCCTGGATTCCTGGAATGATTGATGCATTTGCTCAAGCGACGTTTTTATGCGCTTTACTACTCTTCTGGCTCTGCATTTATCATGGCCTTAGACAGGTAACAACAAAAGCTATCTACTTGTACAAATTATCGAATTTATTGATATTTCAGAATGAAAGGCATTTTCTAACGTTCTACTTACCTAAAGTATTTGTTGTGGCCATGCTGTGGTTTCCAGCAATAATTCTTTCGACTTGGGAGAGAATAAATGAATTGCAAGATCCCACTTATAATCACGCTGTAGATACGTCTAATTTTTATGTAAGTTCGAAATTTAAATTATTGGTATACTTTTAATGTTAGGTCTCTGTTGTTTCAGATTGTGAAAGCATTTTTCTATATATTTGGAGTTATATATTTGATATATCTATCCGTTTTGATATTGAGGGCTTATACTGAACTGAGATCCATGCCATTTTTTGGTGAGTTGAAACAGAAAGAAGAAATTACATTTTTTTATAAAGCCTAATTCTAATCTGTGATTAGATGAAAGCAGTTAAAGGCAACGTGCTTTAGAAATTGTTTGCTTTGGAAATAGTGAGCATTGGTTTGTGGTCTGACACATTCACATCGAATTTTTGTTGAATATGTTGAGTAATATATCATTTCATAAGAAATTATACATATACTTAAAGAGTATAATATAAAAAGTTTCATTAAAAAACTCTGAATAGAAGAAAAAAATATTCAACCATATGATAAGTAATGAAATTCAAAATTGGTTCAAATGAGAGGTATATACAAGGTGGCTCATTTGAAAGAAGAATAACGTTATTAAAACTAAAATTTTCTTGCAGAGCTGAAAGAAAAAATTTGCTGACAGAGCATTGAGAACTATCTAAGAAAACTCATTTTCACTTTTATTTATTGTAATTACTTTCCTTGATTCGACTCTGGATTAATCAAAATGCAAGTGAATTACGTTCTTTATGAATTCAGTGGATCAAAAAACAAAAAATTATTGAAATATTTCAATCTAGGCATACTAATGCACTTTTTCCACTGCCTATCATCAGCATCGTCAGGAGGCGATAAAACAAAATATATAGACTAAGTTAGACTTTCTATACAGGGTGATTCTAAAGTACTTTGACAAACTTCAGGAGGTGATTCCTCACAATATTCTAATATGAATTGTTCAATTAAATAAATGTCCGGAAACGCTTCGTTTCCAAGATACAGGATGTTGAAGTTTTATTTTCATTTTCGTTTTTTTCAAATAACTTTTGAAATACTGAACTTAATTAAACGAAACTTGGTAATAGGAGGTTTTTGAGGTGTCGAAT